TAACAAGTCGAGACTTTTCGTAGGGCTTAGTGTTGATTCCTTTGACTTCACGAACCATTCGAGAGCGAAAGATTCTATAGTTTCCATGAGTCATTTGATCGTATCGTTCAAATTGGAATACACCGCGCCAACGAGGTCAGTAATCTCTTTGTTATCGGATTCTTCGAAGGGGTCACCAGGAGAGGTGATTATGCCATCAGACCGTAGCTTGAGGAAAGAGCTTGTGCATCTTCCTCCTTTTGGGTCAAGCTCTGGTCTACGGCAGGCCATCATGATCAAATCCTTTGGCTTGTTCTTTGATCCTGGTGGGCGTCCTCTCTTGCGGGGGCGGGGTTCGGGTCGGGCAGGCAGGTCCGTTAGGGTCTTAACGGGGTCTTGAGCCGGTTGTTCATTAAGATCTGAACGAATGCCTGAGGGTCTGTGTCGTGTGTAGGGTCGGAAAGAGTGGTATCATCACGCAGATACGGTTGTACAAGGGTCGATCGAAAGACTTGGGGGCCGTTGACTGTGTCAATGGTGATGTTATGGCTATCAATCGATGCAATCTTGAAGGGTCCTTGCCAACCGTCTTTCTCTCTCCAAACGCGAACTTCACTTTGCAGCGGGAGGATAGCACTTCTGTCGTGCTCGGGCCGTTGCGTGCATGGAGGGCATCCTTAACTCGTCTTTCTGCCGAGAGTTGGCGGAGCATTTTCATCGCTTTCTGCATAGCTTCCGATCTTTTGAGGGTGGAAGCGGAAGGGGGCGAGTCTGTAGATACGCGAGGTATGCGCCGAAAACAAGCAACGTAGGCACAAGACCGTCAGGTCCTGCCGTATCATTGATTGCTTTAACAGCCATTTGAAGGACTGTTTCGGCGGAAGTGGTGTGGCCAATCTCAGCATGGAGGATGTTAAAGGCGCGTCGGAGGGTGCGTGATAGCGTTCAATCTTTCCAATGGACCAATGCGTCTCAACAGGTACTTGAGAGCATTTGATTCCATAATCTTTGCTTCGTTCCGGAATTCGAGAGAAGCAAAGTTAGTTCCTGCATCATGACGGAGGGTATCAGGAGGTCCAAGATACGTGTCGATCCAGAGGGTCCGGAGGGTCTCCCATGTATCTTTAGCTGACATTGACGGTAAAAATCTGGCTCCTTGAAAGCAGTAGCTGAGTCCACAACGTGTAGAACAGGGCGTTGTGGTGTTCCTAGGTGCATCACATCAACGATGATTTCGTAGTTGAACTCTTGATCATCGTTAAGGGTGAACTTGAAGCGGCGTGGGGCTTGTGAGTGCATTTGACAGTGGTGACAGAACTTAGAGATAGTCTCTAATGTGTCTATCGAGACGTCACTGTGCCCGGCTTGCTTCAAGAGGTGATGGAGCCTAGGGACTGCTGGGTGTCCAAAGCGTCGGTGAAGTGTACGAATCTCTGTTTCCGTAAGAAACGAGATGGACTCTTCATCTTTCGTAAGGAAGAACCAGGGATGTCCCCATTTGCGTACGACTGGAATGCTTGTAGGGCGATTAGTACAATGATTAGTACAATTGATGGTATCTGTGATGTTGTTGAAATAGATACCAAGCCGGTCCATATCAGCAAGGCAGAGCAAAAGGGAGTTGGGGTTTGAAGGACGTGGAACGTGATCCTTCCGAGGGTGTGTTAAGGGCGACTGTGCCGAGGAGTGGATGGCGTCGCTGTTGCCGAATTTGATGGAGGCCTGGCCGGATGTGGAGCTGTCGAGAGCTACAGAAGGTCTTCTCGTTGTAGGGCGATGTACTGAGAGTATCCTGCTGTGGAAAATGTTGCTGCACCTGTGTCGATCATGATACCTTGGAATCTATCCCTTGAATAGCGATCTTCAATAATAAATTGCGAGGCTGGAACAACGGTTTGATCCGTCTGATAGACGTCTTCTCCTGTGATCAAATGATTGAATGCCTGTTGACAGAGCATTTGGCTTGCTTGCCATTGTTCCGGGTGATCGTTGGTGCTATTGTCATGTTCTTCCCATGTATCTTCAGTGTCATCAAAGCTGCTCATCTCATGACCTTCGTAGTCTAGAATATAGCCTCCGATGTCCGTGAGTTGTACACCTATGAAGTGACATTGAGTGATATGTTGGTCCTTGGCCTTTGCCGTTCATCCGTAGAGTGTTTAGTTGACCAACAGCCTTCTTGTCCACAAACAAAACACTTCTTCGTCCAGTTTCGGTTACTGTAGCTATGATTGTAGTTACTACGGCTTTGAGGCCGGTAGTTTCCACGGTTGTAGCTTTGTCTGTATCCGCGGCTGGGTCGTTGACCTGAATATCCGTATCTACCTCGAGAGCGGTTGTTATTGTATCGACGGTCGAGGTAGTACTGATGGTGTGGATCGTTATGATCGAATGATCCAGCAAAGTCAAGGGAAATTGAGAAGTTGTTATGAGGGCAAGATGGGTTTCAACGGATGCACGAAGATCTGCAAGAAGGTGCTCGACGTTATCGGCGGGTTTGAAAAGAGCGTATTGGAGTTCGGGTACTCCACGGCATGCTTTCATAAGCGTTGTACGCAGTAGAAGGTCTCCTCCGTACTCCTGCCAAGGGCTCGTTGGCAGAGCTGAAGCTTATCAAAGAGGGTTTGAAGCACTTCGTGGGGGGTCTTCGAAGCATCTTGGGCACGGATGGAGTTAAAGGTTATTGTTGTCCAGTCAGTATGGTAGTGGACATGGTTGACTTCCGTGTCAAAGTGTTGTTTGAAGATATCATACGCTTGTCGGAACGTCGTAGCCCATGTGATCTTATCAAGATAGAATCTTTGGGCTCTTCCATCAAGGATCCGGGAAAGAGTGCGTGAAATTGTGACGGTTTCACTTGGATATGAGAGCAGTTGCTTAAGAAGAGGCGGAGCTTATCATCAAGGAGATCGTACGGCTCTCCTGTGTAGTTCCGATCTTTGTTCCAGGTCTTCATAAACTTCTGCTGGATGTCGCTATCGACGATAGCGTTCGGGATGTTATCCGGGGGGAGTTTCATGTATTCTCCAAAGGTTGCAGGGCCGGATAAGTGTTCGGGGATGGGGTTGGTGACGGGTTGGACGAGATCGGGGTTCTGGAAGCGGTAGGAAGTCGGATGAATAGTAAGAGAGGTCGGAGCAGGTTTATCTTGGATAGTCGGAGCAGGAGTAGGTGCGTTAGGAGGGCTCGTTAGGGTCTTAATAGGTTGTGGTTCGTTAAGACCTTGATGAGGTGCTGCTAAGGGCGTAACTGATGGTGAAGGAGGTTGAGACGGATGGGGATTAGTGGAAGCATTTGATCCTAGTAATGCTGTCTGCCTCCTGAAGGCAGCAGTCCTCTCATCAAACACCATCTCCGTAAACTCCTGCTCTGGCCAGGTTTGTGGGTTCTCGATAGTTTGTAATATGAGAAATTGTGTTGCGAATTTCCCCCTTTGTGAACCTGTGTAGATACCTCTTTTCCTTAGTAGTTTCCTGAGGGCTCTCTTGTATTCATTCAGGGCGCGGTCCCATGTGTCTTCGGTCCATTCTTCAAAATGCTGTTGGAAGTAACCAAGGAGGTCGTATCCTTGATCACTGCCAGATTGAACGATGAATATGAACTTTGCCACATATGTCGTTACTGCGATCTTGTCCTTTTCGTCGTGTGTGATATCGTTGTCCCAAAGGTCGATATTAATTTGTCGGAATGCGGATGCTTGGATGTCTAGTGCCTGCATCTGGTCGCATATTTCTTCGAGCTGGGCTTCTGGGGACATAGCTCGGGCGGTCAGGGCTATCGTGATCAAATGAATGAGACGATGTGGGGTTCGTATTGGTCTCTTCGTATACGAGTTGTCGCTAATAGGAGGTCGAGCGTCGCGTACTAAGTAGGTCGTTCGCGGCCAGACTGAACTGACGGGGATCTTGCTACTTAACGTCAAGGGTCGAACGTTCTTACTAGTTGTTTGCGATGTGGTCGCCTGTCGATTCCGGTGCTCACGGCTAGGCAAACTAGCGGGCGATCGTAATCAACAGTTGGAAGGACTCTCGCGCGGCTGGGCAAACCAGCGGGAGATTCCTTGTTCTTAGCACAAATAACCTTCTTCTGAGCGCTACTCAGGGCCACAGTAAAGTGACGCGGACTATAGCACCTTCGAAGGTTGAGGAATTTGTCTCTTCTACTTAGCTGTCTGTGACGGGCGTGGGCCGGTCACTGATCAGTGTGGGTAGGCACCTGCGGCAGCTGCTGCAATGAGACAGTACTAGGGTTAACCTGTGATGTTGTATTCGTCTTGATTCTCTATCTAAGGAGGCAGAGGCCAGCGTGGAGAAAGGGGGCACGCTGCCCTCAGCCGCACACGTGACCGTACGGGTCACGTGCCAACCATGGTTGGTCACACCACTAGATAGATACATTCCTACAGTAATATAATAATTAATTTTTTACCTTTATTATTACTCTTTAAAAATTTAAATAATTCTATATTACCTTTATTAATTTTACTTTTATATATTTTATATATACTTCTTATCTCTTTTATTATATAAGATATAAGCTTAGGATAAGGTAGTAAACTACTCCTTATAATTTCTAGTTAAACTATATATAATATACTTAAGTATACTTAAGGTTTAACTTTTAAAGGTATAACCTAGTAATTAATATATATATTATCCTTTAATAAATATAATCTTATAAGATACTTAATTAAGTTACTTTTTTTATATTAGTAATAATACCTACTAGTTAAAAGTATACCTTATTATTATTATTATTCGTTTTAAGTTTAATTATTTTTTCCTCCTTATTAGGACCCTTACTAAGCTACGTTATTAAAAGACGTGTCTCTTACACCTCTTTTCATCGCCTCAGTCATAATAGCTTAGGCAACGCGTTATCGCCGCTCCCGACAAGCCATCCGCATCCTGCCCGGTTCTTGGCCTCAAATAGGCACGCCTTGACGCTTGGCGCCGGCCCCGTTCCTTACTAGGACATTGCGACAGTCGCCAGCGAGGCCGCGACGACTCCAGAACTCTGCAATGGCGAGGAAGACATCTTCGGCTCGCCCAGATACCCAACTTCGGTCGCGCAAGGACAGGACGACAAATCGAATCGAGATCCCGCTCTCCTCCAAGCGGCGCCGCTATGTTCCCGGCAGCGGCCCGCCCCTTCAGCGCATCTCCATACTGCCACCCGAAGACTCGACCGCCTACATTGTGGAGCGCATTCTGCTGCCCTCGCTAGGGCATGCTGCCGACGGCAAGCCGCTCCCAAAGCGCATGACCTATATTATCGGATGGCGCGATCTCCCCGCCGCGCGGCACCTAGTCCCTGCCATGAAGATCCTTAACTATGTCTCGCCGCGAGCGCTCGAGGAATGGGAGTCTAATAGGGAGGTAGAGCTTGCAGAAGACCGACGGAAGCAAGCCGACGAAAAGGACGTGGGCGAAAAGCAGGGCTGGCCGCCGGCCTATATTAAAACCGGGTCCCCTACTATAAAAGACTAAAATATACTCTTAGAATATTCTTTCTATTATATAGCTTAATATATTAAAAAGAAATACTCCTATAAGGCCTTATAGTAGTCTTAAGCTAGCTATAGTATATTAAAATCGAAATAAATAATTATATTAGATTTTTATTACTTATTTACCTTTTAACTTAAATAGTATATTAGCTTTAAGATAAGAGTAAGTTAAAAAGCAACCTAATAGTAATAGGTAAAAAAAGGTTACTACTATATATAGAATTTTTATAATAATAAAATTATACTAATATAATAAGCTTAAGATTAAATTAAAGTAAATTTAAGATAATTATTAAAACTAAAGTAAAAGCTATTATTATTATTACGAAAAAGATATAGCTGCCTATTAAATATAAGCGACAGCGTTAATTAATATATATAGTATACGCGATATACCCCCTTAGGGAAACCGGGTTAATTCGTCCTAGGATACCTAGATATCTAAGACTATAGAGGGAATTTTTATATAGGTAGGACCTATACTAAAACCGCGCTTAATTACGCTAGCGGGACTTAAACTATAGGCCTTCGGGTAATACGCGCTAGGCTAGCTAGAAGAAGTACGTACGTAGTTACCGGGAAGGTTCTAGAGGGGTAACCCTTCTACCCGGGCTTATAACTATTATAAAAAAGATATAGCCGCCTATTAAATATAAGCGATAGCGTTAATTAACGTATATAGTATATACGATAATTATTAAGTATATATAAAGAGTTATATATAGTTTTATCTAAAATATTATATAAAGCTTTTACTTATTAAGGTAAGAGTAATAGTATTATTAAGCTTAACCTTAAGTAATATTAAATTTATAATTATAAATATAATCTTAAAAGCTTTTAAATAAATCTTTTTTCTTTAATTAATATTTTACTTTACCTTTACGCTACTATTATAATAACTCTAAGAAAATAATATATAATTATAAAGAAATAAGTATTAAGCTTCTTTAAATAATAAGACAGCGGATTTACCGCCCGTTTAAGCGGTTTTAGCTACTAAAGCTAGTAGCTAATTTATTAGAAATCGAGTATACGGATAGATAAACGTATCGCCGGGCTCTTCCCTTTAAGTATCTTAAATATACTTACTATATATAACGACCGGTGTTATTCCTAAGGGATAAACCTATCGAGGGGTTTATATTAGTAGATATAATAGGGCGTAGTCTAAGCAATAATAAGTATATTACGTTAGTAATAAGTTAGAGGTTATAGACTATAGACTATAACTAGGTAATTAAGTAATCGAAATTAAAGATAAGATTATAATAGAGATCGTAATAATTATAATATTAAAAGCTATCGAGCTATCTATCTAAAGGAGTATTCCGTTCCTTCCTTATATATCTTAAGAGCTTCCTTAGATTACCGAGAGCGCTAGGTAATCCTATTATCTAGGAGCGCTAGAGCGCTAGAGCGATCCTATAATCCTAGCCGTAGAGCGTTAAAGTGCTAGAGTAACCTATCGCTCTAAACTTAATTAGCCTATTAGTCCGTTTAATATTCCTTACTCCCTACGTTACGTAACCTTATAATATATATTAGTCCCCGCGGTTTACTAGACTATAGTTATAATAGGATACCTCCCTTTCTTTTAGTCTTATCCCTAAGACCTACTACTTTAGCCGCTATATATAAATATACCCTTATTATATCGTATATAAGTATATCGTTCCTTATTCTTTTATCCTTTTAGGATATACTACTAATAGTATATTTAGTTATATTTAAAAATCCTATTCCTATAATTCCGATAAATTACGTTAACGATCGGAGCTAGTATCCTAGACCGAGATCTATAGTATTAAAATTATACCTTGCTCCTATTATTTTTAGTTAGGCCTAACTTATAAAGTCGGCGAGCGTTTTAATTAGTATTCTAAATATACCTCCGTAGGCTATTCTTATAATAGTTATAATATAGCGTCCGCTTATTCGTTTTATCCCTTTCCTTCCGTATTATTCTTTTTACTAATATTTATTTTTTTTAGTTCGTTATATTATAAATTAATAGTAAAAGATTAATTTAAATAAACAGAAAGTAAAAGAAGCGTTAAAGGAAGCGATAGCTAGCTTAGCTTAGATTAGGAAATAGAAGCGTTTCCTAAAGGACTAAGGTAATAAGTTATTTTAGCGGGGTATATAAGCTATTAATAAAGAAGATAGTATAACGCGTTCTTTTTAAGATAAATTAGTTTATTTATCGAATAAGGAAACTATTACTATTAGCGAGGTTTAATCGTTTAATGCTTTAAACGTATTAAACTAAGATATTATTTTTAGTAACCCGATATTTCTAATTAAGGGTTCGCTTAATAGAACTATTAAAGTAAAGAGCTATAGTAGGTTAAGTGCTTAAGTAGTTCCTAGGTATTTTCCTTTAGTCTATATCTCTTTTACTTAATAAGGTATTCTTATTACTAACCTTATTTTCTTATATCTAGTATTTATTTAGCTTTATATTCCTAATTATTATTAACTTTAATTTTATCCTATAGTTTAGCGTTTTATAGTACTAGTTTTAATAATAAGATATAAAATATTGGGTATATCTATATTATTATTATTAGCGAAAGTTCGTAGTTAACTTTTAAAATAGTTTTCTTAACTTTAAACGGTCTAAGTTTCTTAAAATCTAATTTATTACTTAGTTATTTTATTTTAATATTTTATCGTATAAGGTAGACTATATCTCCCTCTTAAAAGATTAGTCCTTATAATCTTTTCCGATTATAGTAAGTAGATATTCGTTTTCTAATAAATTAAAGTTCTTATTATATTTCTTTATATAATTTTTATAGCTAATCTACTTATAGTATTACTCGTTCCGCTTATAGTCCTTATTAAGTAACCTTAAATACTTCTAGGTTATATCTATAATTAGCGTATACTAGTAAGAGCTTAGTTATTTCTATAACTAAGCTATTATAAGCTAGTTACGCTATTAGTAGCTATTTAACTTAATTGTTTTATTTATAGCTAATATAGTATTATAAATATTATTTAAGCGTTTAGTTAAGTCGTTTTATTTATCTATCTATTTATAGGTAATAAGCTATACTAAGCTTATATTTCGTCCTTAATTATACTATAAGAGTTTACTAAAACTTAGCTATAAATATACTTCCTTTATTAAAGATAATCTTATTTAGTAGTTTATAATTACTAATAATAGTTTATAGGAATATATATACTAGCTCTTTTATATTACTTACTTCTTTATATAGTAAGAAGTACCTATACTTCGTTAGTCTATTAATAATAATAAATATACTATCGTACTTAACGTTAATTATAGGTTCTTTTAATAGTAATAGCTTTATAATATAGTTAAAAGCTATTAAATCCTATGGTTTTTCTAGTACTAGTAGCGGTTATAATTCTCTATATAGTTTATATCGTTTAGCTTTACTTTATATATAAAGTTTATATTCTTTAATAACTTATTATACTACTTCTTTAAGCTATAAGAAGTTATATTATCGTTTAATCCGTTCTATTATTCTTTAGATTCCTTAGTATCTATATATTAAATATTTATATATATGTTATATAACTTTATCTTATAATTTTAATAGTATCTAGATTTTATTTTTATATATTAGAACTTCTAAATATTCTATATTATATCCGTTTAGTACTTTATATTTATTTATCTATTTTAGGATCTTTTAATATATTAAGTCGTTAGGTTATACTTTAAATATTATATTTAGCTATCGTTACTAGTAGTTCCTATTTTTATTAATTTCTAGGAGCTATCCTTTCGCTATAAGTGCTTTTATATTATAGTTACTTTATCGACTAAGGGTATTAGCTCGACCGTTTTCTATTCCTTTTCTATAGATTATTTTATAGTCGAATTCTAATAAGTATTCGGCCTATTAGATCTATCGTCTATTTAACTATTATATTATTATAAAATATAAGATATTCTTATAATTTATATAGACCTTAACTTTATATTTACTTTTAAGAAAGTAGTATCGAAATTCCTTAAAAGCTTAAATAATTATAAGGAATTCTTTATTATAAATAAGGTAATTAAGTTCTATACTATATAGCTTTTTTAAGTAGAATATAATTAGTTATAGTCTTCTTTTATTATCTTTCTATTTAATTTATACTCTTAAAGTAAAGTCTAATATATTAGTTTTAAGTTCGATTTATTATTTTAGATTAAAGGTAGTTAAGACTAGTTCTTATATAATTATAGTTTTAATATATTCGAAAGCTTCGTTAGCTTTATCATCCTATATAAATTCTTTTTCCTTCTTTATTAAGTTATATAATAGTACTATAATCTTTTCGAAATCTCTAATAAATCGTCGGTAGTAATTTATAAATCCTAGGAAACTTTATATATCCTTAATATTCTTTAGTATTAGCTATTCTTTAACTAAGTCGATCTTATCTTATTATATTTATATCTCTCTTAGTAAGATCGTATATCTAAGGAAGTCTACTTCTTATATATAGAACTTACTTTTCTTTAGTTTAACTAGTAACTTTATATTCTAAAGTACGCGGAGTACCTTATAAACGTATTTCTTATATTCTTCTAAGGTATCTAAGAAGATTAAGATATTATCTAGGTATACCACTATAAAGATATCTAAGTATTCGTATAGGATATTATTAATTATCTATTAAAAGGTAGCTAGTATATTTATAAGTCTAAATAGTATTACTAGATATTTAAATAGTCCGAATTTCGTTTTAAAGGCTATTATCTATTTATATCCCTTTTTTATATATATTAAGTTATAGGCGCCTTTAAGGTCGAGGGCTATAAACTATTTTTTACTATATAGTCGATCTTATAGTTCTAATATAAGCGGTAATAGTATTCGGTCCTTTATTATAATATCGTTTAAGCGTCTATAGTTAATAACTAGTTATAGCTTACTATTTTTCTTTAAAATAAATATAACTAGGTAGCTTACTTTAGATATTAACGTTTATATATATCCCTTT